CTCGGGCGCGGCGCCCCGGAGTAAGAGTGGGTTTGGGTTTGGGCCCGGGCGGGGCGGGTGGTGGGGAAGGCAGAGGGGTCTGCGAGCAGGGGAGGCTCCTGTTGTGGTTCGGGAGCCTTCTGTGCCCCGTGGTGGGAGCGCCCGTCTGCAGGTCGGGCCCTTGCAGCTGCTGCTGAGCAGGCAGGAAGAGCTTGGATCTGCTCAAGGTCGTCACCGTGTTCACAGGGTTTTCTGTTCAAACGTCCTGTGTATTAAGGAAATTAAAACTATAATTTTGTAGGAACAGGTCTGTGTGTGCTAGAGTTGCAGGCCATGCTCTGAGCTTGATGCTTCTTTCCTGTTTACTTTCACCTTAATACACTAGCTGCTGTGAGGATTGGCCAGACTTGAGGAGAGCTGTTGTTTCGTTTGTCCTAGTAGGAAGAAGCTTTGCAACTTGCCTGAAGTTTAATGGAAGTCAGTGTAGCAAGTTATTTTTTTTATGATACGCAAAGTCTGAACTTACAATGTTCGCCCTTTTGTAATATTTTGATTATGAAGGTCAAAAAGCATCCAATTTTACAGAAAGACAGACTTGCAAGATCGAAGTATCTGCTTCAGGCAGAGGTGTTGAGAAGCTGCAGAAAACTTCTACAGCCCTGTTGTGTTAAATGCTAATAAATAATAATACATTAATAATTATAAATTATAACACTTCTTGCCCCATGTGTTACAAGCAAGACAATACATGCACCTGGGTTTGGATGCTGCAGAACATTTGGCATTCAGGAGTATTTGAAACCCTTCTGTTCCTGACCAAAGTCAAAACATGAATACAAATTTCAAAGTATCTTGTGCAAAATGCTGTTTGTAAACTGATTCGGTGACTGGGATTTCCATCTCAAGTTAAGAGATCATGGTGCTTAAACAGCAAAGGTCCATGGGGCCATATGTAGGAATGATCAGAGTTGCTGACAACTGCTGAAAAGATTACTAAAAGAGTAGTTGCATGCAGAGTTCTGGCTTCTAATGTTCACTTCTTAAAAAGAAAGCCTTTGCTGCATAGATATAAACTTGATTGAACAACAAATCACTCTTATTATAATTTATTTTTGCAATATTTTAAGAGTATTTAAGATGTACTTGAGCATCAGTTTCTATTTTCATTATCCTGCAGCTTTTGATTTCAGAAGGTGTTAGGAGACCTCTTAGGCCACCTCTTTCAGCCAGCTGCTTCCCCTGCAAATGGCTCAGGTTAGTTAAGGTGTATAGGTTGCAGCTGTCTTTTACAGATTCTAGCTGGAACAGGGTGTGCAAATTTTCTTTGCTTAGATAAAGTGGTCATGTTTGTCAGTGATGGGGAATAGACCTGTAATTTCTGAACGTGAACATGTTTTAAACATGCTTTGATATTGATGCTTTTAACATCAGTATCATTAAGAATGCCTCTGGGAATAATCTTGTTACTTATTTGGATATAATGTTCTTTTGACAAAGTGATGCAAATACAGATGAGGTGGTGCAATGTTTGAAGTACCCAAATTAAAGTGTCTAGTGTTGTATTAGACTACGATTAAAAGCTGAAACCTGTATCTTTCCCACATATCCAAATTTTGAAGTATTTTTTCAGTAACACCTACTGTTAGTGGTCAAGTTGAACGGCACCTGCATTACTCGTTTCTTAGGATGCATTACTTCAGCTTTTGCTTAGCCTTCACTTGTCTGTTACCCCTTTGCACATTCTTGTGTTAGTTTGACCTTCCTATACGCTTCTTTGAAGACCTCTTCAATCCTGAGTGATGCTTCCTCCCATGTTAGCTTGCACAGGCTGCTGTTTGGCTGTGCCAGTCTATGCAGGGATTCAGACTTCTTTCTACTCATCCTCATACTTCCCCCTGTCCTCCCTCCCTGCCCTGCACCTTCCATCTGGCAGAGAGAAGTATGTGTCTGAAATTATTCAAAAGTATTACTTGTATAGTAAACTGATATTTTTCTCATTTGTACTTAAGAACTCCATTTCTTAAATGCTTTGCTTTTAATTTCATGTGTCTGTCTCTTCTGTGTTGTTTTCATTAGGACATTGCTAAACATTTCCTTCTTTTCAGAACTAATTATAGTAAGTCCTTGGATTCTACAAGGTATTACTGTAATGTACTAGTAATGGGGAAACCTGCATGTAGTTTATGGTCTCATAAAATAGATTTGGGTTTTCAAACTGCAGATAAATCTGTACAGTAGGCTGGAAACCTGTTGACTTACACTGCTGGCTGGAAGTGGTGCAACTCCTAATGGAGTTAGCTTTGATATATGAAATTTAAGCTGTGGTGCATCTTAATGAGCTCCGAGTCCTCTTTGTCCTCCTGTTTCTGTAACCACAGCAGTGTTCGCTGTTGGTCAGCCTCTTGAGGACATCAGTACAAGCATCCAAGGGGTATTTGGTACTCTCTGAAGGGGCCTGAAAGTTGCATCTTCAATTGTTGGCTCCTTGTCTGAAGAATTTAACTTAATGAAAGTATTCACAAGGGAGAAGAAACAAAGGCAAGCTAACATGGAGCATTAGGAGATTGTCTGTGACTATTTTTACACAGAGCTCTCGAAGCAAAAATAGGAGGTAGACACAGTGAAGACTGGAGGAGATAAGGTCTTGGGAAAACAGTATTAAACTGTGTTAGGTCACATGGGCACATGAGCATGTAATACTTTTGTGTCTGGCTTCAGATATTTCTTATTGAGCTACTTTGTCCCTTGAGAGTCATCCCTGCCTACTGCTGTGAAGATAACTTGCAAGAGGCTTGCTATTGCTGTGTCTGTTTACTGTGTCTTCTGCTTCGCTGGCTTGCTCATAGGAAAATATTATCTTTCTGGCAGCATCTTTGAAGAGCTCAGCTAACAAGTTATCTCAATGTTCATCTGAGATAGGAAGATGTCTTTAAACCAGTTTCAGTGATGCAGAATTGAAGAGCGGAGAAAAATGGCTCTTGCAAGGAGTCTAGCAAAGCAAGGAGCAAAAGGCACTAGAGTTTCAGCATTGCAGCAGAGGAAACTTTTAAGTGCTAACTAGAACTCTAGTTTCTTTAATTTTAGGTGTCTTAAAACTCTCCTTCATAATGCCTGTATTTAGTATAATAACTACTTCCAGTTTGCTTTATGTACCAAAATATCTCAGAAAGTTAATATTGTATGTCTAAGATCAGTAATAAAAGCAGTGTTGGATATACTCATGATAATCCTCTCTATGCCGTTTCCTAGATGTAGTGGCACCACAGGGAAGCACCAAGCTTCTAGCCATCAAGGCACCATCTGAATTTCCTAAAATGTTGTCTTCTAGCTCTCTCTTAGTATCTGGAAACAAAGGTGAGAGCATATCTAGCACTAACCTTGGGGAAGCTTCAGAACTTTCTACTGAAGACATGAGGATGTTCATGGCAAGAAAAACCGTGGTTGCATTTCCTCAGCGAGCAGTTGTTTCCTCCTTGGAGGAGGAAAACCTCACTACATCTACAAAAGAAGGAGGCCTGAGGAAGGAGTTAGTTGAGGAAGAAACTTCATCTTCATCCAGTTCAGATTCAGACTCTAGCTCAGATTCTGAGGAAGAAAATGATTCAGAAGTTGCCATTAAAACCAAAGTTGAGTTTCCTAGACAAGATTCCATCCTTTCTGAGAACATAGCGGTAAAGGCATCAATGCTAGCAAAAGAGAACTTGTCCCAGAAATCGCACAAAGAATATGTAGCCAAGAAGAAGCCATACAAGCCAGAAACTGATGTGTCTTCTGTCAAGCAGGTTGCATGTTCTAAAACATCTGTCAGCCGTAAAACACCAAAAGCCAAAGCCAAAGACCCCGAAGTAAAATCAACTCTGAAAGAAGATCGGCAGAAGCTGGTCTTTAAACCACCCATGGTTGAAAGCCAAAACCTGACTGATGTCACTCATAAATCTGATTATTTGGAGGAAAAGTCTATTAAAACCCAAGTAGCAGCTATTCAGCTGAAGGCTTCATCAATGAGTCAGGAAGACAAAAAGCAAAAACCAGTTTCCAAAAAAGGAAAAGAGAAAAAGATGAAGGAGGCACAGGAGTCAGAAGCAGAAGTAACTGCTCCTAAACTAGAAGAGACTTATGAAAACACTATGTTGGTGATGGGCACTACAGCAAAGGAAGAGACCATTCAGGAAGCAGGACTCCAGGCTGGAGAAGGAAGCACAATAGAGGGTACAGCTTTAAATTGTTTGAACTGTATTGATTCATTTGGGCCAGGGTTTAACATTTTTTAAAGGGTTTCCAAATCTTCTCTGTTCATGATTCTCTGATCTTTATACTGAAGCTGTGTGGTAGTGACTTTCTGCAAGATAAATTCTTACTCATTGCTAATTATTAGTACTTAGTTTCCAGTGGTGCTGTGAAAGAAAGTAGTCTTCATTTCACTGTGTTTAGTTTCATAACCACTTATGTACAAAATGAAAACAAGATTGTTTCCGCTATGAGCAAAGGTGTTGTATGACAAAATTTGTTTTTCTTCTTTTCTCAGAAGGATTTAGTAGCTGCCTTTCTCCTGAGCCAAATTTTATGTCATTCTTTATTTTTTTAAACTTTTTTTTTAACCTTGCAGTGTTTCAGATGTTAGTAGGCTTCAGGTAATCGTAGTGTAATGCAAGAAATAGGTATTGATTCTGAGATTGGTAGCTTGTGAGTTGTGTTGAAGTAAAACAAAGTTGACCTTACAACCCAGATTTTGTAGAGACATGGGAAGGAGACAGTGACATGTTTTAGAAAAGAACACTGTGCACTATTTAATCATCTCCCTAGCTATACTTCCCTATTTAACTTAACCTTCTTATTTACTACTAGTCCGATTAACTCACCTATTGATCTCATTCTGCTTTTTCAAAAGCCAAATGTCCCTCTGTCCTGATCTGTGGTGGCATTCTTGCCTTTCAGCTTAAGCAGTGTATACATTTTTTAAGACACTTCCCACCCCCCGTTTCTAATTTCTGCTTTGAATTAAAGAATTTGCCTACTTGAAAGTAAAAGCAGCATAATAGTAAAGTTGCTTGGATACCAACTTTCAAGTGGTATCCTTGCAGAAAACGCCTTGGGGGTCTAAGTGGACAGCAAATTGAACATGAGCCAGCAATATGCATCTCTCCTGTGAGGAAAGTCTGTGAGAGCTGGAGCTGCTCAGCTGGAGTAAAGAAGGTTTGGGCAGGTGGGGTGGGTAGTGGAGAATCTCATCAATGTATGTAAATACCTAACGGGAGAGTGCAGAGAAGGCAAGAGGTGAGACACTCTTCAGTGGTACCCGGTGACAAGAGGCAGTGGGTACAAACTGAAACTGAAAACTGAGTTTTGCCTGAACATCAAGGAACACACTTACACTGTGAGAGTGATGGAGCACTGGCACAGGTTGTCCAGAGAGGTTTTGGAGTCTCCATCGTTGGAAATATTCAGAAGTCAGCTATCTGGAGATGTTCTGGACAGACTGCTGTACCTGACCCTGCTTGATGACCTCCAGAAGTGTCTTTGAACCTCAGCCATTCTGTAGCTCTCTGAACTGTCTCACCAGGTTAAGTGACAAATAATTGCTTTTGTACAGTTTTTTCCAGGATACAGTGCTGAACCTGCCTTTTGTTTTAAGGACTTAGTCAACTCGTGATCTGATCTGTTCTTAGAGTTGGATGCTAAGCTTACCTTATTCTTTGACTGCTACTTAAATGGTAGAATGCAGCACTGTTTGCAAGTTACATTTGCATTTGTTCCTCCTTGCAGGCAGCAGTAGATTTCTTTAAAAATGGGAAAAGGCTATTTCTGTTTATCTACAGATGATGCTTTTTTCATCCCATTCATCTACAGTGGAGTTCTAGATGCCTAAACATTTTTTTTTCCTTATTGAAGCTTATATGAAGATGCAAAAAATTAGTTCAGTTAACTTCAAGTACAAGAGGGAAGACTTGGTCTTAAAATATGCCAGTGATTCAAGGTGAAGATTATGACACACTAAAGATCTCTGAAACAGCCTCTTGTACTCTTATGCTATAAATCCAGAGTAAGGTTAAGACCATGGGACAAGCTTTTCCTGCAGATCTGTATTAATGGGGCAATAGTACCACTGTGCCTCAGACCCATAATCATCATAACCACACAAGCAAAACAGTTTTGGGAAGGACTTGGCTTTGCTGAAAATGACACTTTGGCTGTTGAGCTCTTCTTGCTCAGTGGAAGTGTTAAGGCTGTGACAGGACAGCAGGAAAGTTTCTGTTGGGCATGTGCCTAGAGGACTCTGCTGCAGTGGCTGTAGGAGAGGTGGGGGTTGGTATAGGCAAGTTCACACCACTTTGCTGCTGGTGTAATGTCTTTGTGTGCCAGGGGTAGCACAGAGTCAAACCTACCTACACTGGGTTCAATAGCATTATGGATATTTCTGGCATCATGGATATCTATTTTCTTCTCTTTTGCTTTTGAGACCTTCTTTGAGAACAGCTACTGCTTTTCCATGTATCATGTTCACAGTTAACAATAATACCTTCTGTAATCTGTGCTTCTGTCCTCCTGTTCCTGTGTTCTTGTGTTCATTTGCAAACTCTGCAGCAGGCACACTGAAGACTTAAAAGTGTTTTTTACCATTACAAACCTGGATGTCAAGGTGATGTCATCCACTTTGTAGAGACCTGCTAAGCAGTCAGCAAAAGCTGCTGATTTTATCTGCTAAGTAAGAAGCGTGGTAACTCAGAAATATACCTCTGATTCATTTTAGAAGAACATCCTGTGAAATACTTGCTCTTTAAGAGAGAAAGCTTGGATGAAGTCTGAAGTATGGGGAGGATGAATCTGGGGATAAATTTTTCCTTTGAAAAGCCAAGTGCAGTGTATTTGGGCTGGAAAAAGGAGATTCCATCTGCTGTTCTTCCTGAGCATCTGTCTCTTAATTTGGAACAACTGTCTCTTGCAGGTTGAATGTACACTTGCCTACGCTTGTCTGTTCTCAGGGCTATTTGCAGCAAAGACTACATCATCTGGCTTTCATATCTATGGTGTTGTCTCCTATGAGTTGTCTCAGTAAGAACTGAGCAGTAGGTACAGGGTATTTCCTTTCATATGTTTTTGTGTGCTGTTTTACTGAAGCTATGGCTTGCGACATCATGTTTTATAAGCAAGTCTTGCTAAATGTTGCGGATACGTGCTCTTAAACTGACAGTGTTACATAACAGTAATTATGTCAAAGGGAGATTCTGGTGTTCAGTTGCTTGAGTTCTTGCATATTTATTGTAGAGGGTTGTATTACAGGAAGAAGCTTAATACGATCAAACTTAAACCACTACATACAAAGTTACACGACCAGGCTTTTCACTAGATTATGCTTATACCTTTCCTATTGTTAAAACTCTGGGTATATGAGAATAAATTAATAGAGGGAATAAGGTTTTATTTCTTGCCATTTCCTTGGTTGTAAAAATCAGCCCTTGACAAGAACCTTTTATGGAACTGATACTGTGTAAATTAGCATAACGTTGTAAAAGTGTAAGAATTAGTGTTGGCTTTAACATGAAGTAAGGAGTTCTGAATAACTTTATTAGGTTATTCTTTTAGCAAGAAGAGCTGATTCAAAGTTTAGAAGATTACATTTAGAAGAAAGGAGACTTACATCAAAGGCTTTTGATATATTAATGTTCAGTGTAGCCACATTTGAAATTAAACCATGGAGATCTCAATTATTCCATCACTTCTCCCCATGGAAAAAACTCAATCTGTAAAGTAGTTCTAATAGCTGTACCTTGTTGTCTGACATGATGAGACATGATTTGTACTGCTGCTTTGCCTCTCTTGGCTTGCTAAGAATGTCACCTACTGTTCTGTCTGGAGTGAAAACCAAGGCAACTATGAAAAAGCCAGGAAATGCAGACATATGTGTTCAAAATATAAACGAAATGTTCTGCCCTATCCTCCCCAGGCACTAGGTGGTAGTTTGGACTGGAAACCTGTGCTGTATTAGATTATTTGTAATAATGCCTGTTCCCTTACTGCATACTAACATGCTGCTTTAGGATCAGACAAGGTACCAGCAGATCTTAGCAAGCTCATATTTTTTTTTGTTATAGTTGCTGACTTTATTTTTTCTTTTTAAATGTTAACTGGATGAGGGATCAGACAGCGTATGAAGGCTGGCTCAGGAGTTTAAAATATTGCTCTTTGGTGTGGCATCCTTATAGTCACCAGTTATTGTTTGTTTCCACAGAGCCCACAGCAGCTACTGAGCCTGCTCCGGAAGAATTTGATAATTCTACCTACAAGAATCTTCAGCATCATGAATATAACGTTTATACCTTCTTTGATTATATTGAGGTTCTTGCAAAATTCAGGCAGCCTCAGCCATCTTCTGGAAGACCATCACCAAGGCACTGAAAGAACCACATTTAAAACAAATGCCCAGGCAGAATGATAAATTGTTCTGTTTAGCACTATTGCTTCATCTGTATTATAAATCAGATAATAAATAATATATAAGTGCATGATAACTTACGCTTGTGCTTTTGGACAGTTCTTTTTGGTTCTCGGAGTCCCTTATTTCTTGAATTTCATGAATGAGCTCCAAATGAATAATCAGTGAATAAAACTAGTTTTTCTGCCTCTCAGTACATACTATTTAGTGATCTTCGGCGTCTCCAGACTTTTAAT